GCCTAAAAGCTTAAAATAAGGACTATCTAGCTACTACCCTATCTACCTACTAATATAACCCCTATTATATAGTATTTAATCTATCCTTTAAGGGTAGTAGCTAGATAGTCCTTATTTTAAGCTTTTAGCGGTATAGCTAAGAAATTTACTAATCTAACTATATTACGCCTAAGAACGGGACCTATACGTACTATTCTATTAGGATAACTATACTAATTATTAAGCAAGGCCTTCTATACGGCCTATTATACTAAGTTAATCGTACTAGACCTATACCTACTAATACCGCTATATCCGTACTATAGGGGCCTATAATATATTATTAGTGCTACCCTTTATAATAGCCGGCTTATTACAAAGTACTAATAATAGCAATAACAACCGCGGCGCCCCTAATAGCGCTAGCAACGACAACACTAGTAGTATAGAGCCTACTAAAGAACCTATAGTCGAGGGGGATAACCTATCGTTGCCTATTAACGATATTCTTAGTAATATTATTAACCGTCGATATAACCGACTAGCTTTTAGCCCCTAGCTAGTAGAGAGGCTTTAAGAAGCTATTTAGAATAGGCTCGCTGCTCTGCGTTAAGAATAGTAGCTAAAGGAAGACCTCCTTAAGATTCGCCGCCTATAGGAATCTCTAATAACTAATACTAAACTAATAGTAGGGCCTTCCTTACTATCCGTACCCGTCTAGAAGAAGGATACTAAGCTTAAGGATTATACCGTATTTAACGGCTCTAGTCGCAAGCAGTATAATAATTATATACGTAATTATAAGCTTAACTAGCGAAATGTACTAAGGGCTCTTCTAGACGACTATTTATTAGTCGTCTATACTATATAGTATATTAATAGCGACCTTAAACGCACTTAGGATAACTATTTTAACTCCCTTAACGATTAGACTACTATTTAGTAGCAAACCTATAAGACTATTATACTAGATACCCTTAGAAACCCTATACTAAGGCAATAACATGCTTAGGACTAGTAACTTCGGGCTAAACAAAAGACGGATTAATCGGCTCGCTTATTTAAGGCCTGTCTAAAAACCCTCGAAGATAACCTTCTAGCTAAGACTAATTCTATATAGATCTTAGAGATACGCCTAAAGCTTAGATAGGAGCTTATCCTTAAATTAGACCGTCGCCGTATATTTAAATAGGCTAACCTAATACGTATTTTATTTATAGTCGAAGTAGAAATAGCTAAACGAGCTATCTAGCTTTAATAACAACTAGAATCGAGGATCCAACTAGCTAGTACTAACCGTAGCAACCGTAGCCGCGGAGGTAACTAAGGTTCCTACTAAAGTAACAATACTAATAATAGAAACAGTAATAGTAACCGTAGAAGAGGCCGTAGCCGACGGCTATATAGAGGAGGCCGTAATAGGGGCCGTAGAAGGGGCTTATATCCCTATAATACTAACCGCTCGGCTAATAATAGTAGTAATAGCTACGGCAATATCCTAACTGGATTGAAATGCTATAACTATAATAGTACTAGCTATCTACTAGGCTAATACGACAAACCTAAGGACTAGGCCCGAATTAAACGTACTTCCGCTAAGTATAGGAGGTACCTTTTAGCTACTAATTCTACCCCTATCGGCCCTTTTAATTAGTCGAAAAAAGAATAAGCGCTATACTAACTATTAGCCTTATATGGCGTAAGACTATCGACATTATACTAGCTATTATACGCACCTGTTTTATATAGGACACGTATAGTACTAACTATAAAACTAAGGTTATACTATATCTAGGCAATTTACGTTATAAAAACTTTTTTTCCGATCGCGACGATCCTATCGATAGGATCCTTAGGATCCTTAGGATCCTCGGGATCGTACGTTAAAGATCTTGTCGGATAGGATCGCGGCCCCGCGATCCTAAGCGATCCTATTAATAGGATCCCCTTAACGAAGTCCTAGGTTAAGTCCGACGAACTAAAGTAGAGCAAGAATTGCTATTAAATGCAGCGTACGGCTTAAATCTAATCGTTCCGTACAATTAGATTACTTACACTAGTCGATATCCTAGTTTTGCCGACGAACGCTCCGAGCGGACGAGTTATTATAGGGGATCGTCGCGATCGCAAATTTCGGGACGGGCCGTCCCGAAATTCGAGGCCGAGGAACGCAAAGGACGCGGGACAAGTTAGAGCCCGATACTACTACTACTACGAGGTATATAGGGGTATTGCGCACATACATAGGTCAAATTTAGCGGTTTCGTAGGTATTTTTTATAAATAAATTTTTTTCGTTGAGGTTTCGTTAAATGCAGCCGATATTTCGTTAAGGTTTTTTTCAAAAGCCGACGCTTAATAAGCAGAACTTTGAAAAAAAGTACACTCGAAACACTCGATATTCTTTTCTAGATTCTAAGATAATTACTAGGTATTAAGACTTCAAAATTTATAATATTCTTATTAATAGGTAGAACTTTAAGTTCTATTTTTTAGATTTCTAAAAATAGTAAAGTATAACTTAGAAAAGCCAAAATACTATATTGCTTATTTCTACTCCCTAGCTTTAGTTTCGTAGAAAATCTATAAATTTTATATTTTTTTATAATAATATACTAAAAATAGAGTATCTTTTTACTATATTACTAAGCTATAAACCTACTAGAAAAAAAGATAAATTAGAAGCAAAATGTCTAGAAAAGCGATTTTCTTTCCTTTATATCTTTTTATCTAGAAGGTTTACGGCTTAGTAATATATAACAAAAATGTTCTATTTTTAGTATAGTATTAGGTAAAAGTCTAACTTTTATAAGTTACCTATTTATCGTTCTAGGATAGCTTAGGATCGCTCGGGATCGCTCGCGATCGCTAGGATCGATAGGATCGTCGCGATCGGAAAAGAAGTTTTCGTAACGTAGTTAGTGCCCTTATTAATTACCGCCTAGCTAAGCAATTAGATCTCTAACAATTAAATAGGACTAATATGCTAATCCTTGCTTAGTTTAATAACGCTCGGCACTTAACCTACAGAGCCTACTATATTTATATAGTTCTAAGAGACGACCTTAGTAATAAGCGCCTACTAGACTTTACTGCCTATATAGTAGATATAGACAACCTTCTAGCTAATATTGTTCTTAGTAATCCTATTCTTAAGCAATACGCGGTAACTATAGACTTAGGCAGCTAATAGTAGCGATTTAGAATCGCTAGGAAGGAAGATATTAAATATATTAACGTTAACGAGTGTCCTAACGATATTAGGGTCCTATTTATTAGCAACCTAATATACGCACTAGCCTCCGCCTTAGCTAATCCGACTACTAACCTACTTAGTAGTAATAACAATAAGCCTATGCCCCCTAATAGTATAGAACCCTAATTAGCTTGCTCGTATACTCTAACCTATTTAAGAAACCTATATTAAGGTATTTAAACACTACCTAGTATCGATATTGCCTATATTTAAAGAGACGGACTATAAGATTAATATTATAGAGAATAAGGAGGTTCCTCTTAGGCCGCTCTATAACCTTAGTAAGCGCGAGCTTGCTATATTGCGTAAATACCTAGAGAAGAACCTAGCTAATAGTCGAATTTAGTATAGTAATAGCCCTACTAGTGCACTAATCCTGTTTGTTCTAAAGAAGGATAGTAGCCTACGCTTATATATTAATTACTATAGACTTAACGCTATTACTATTAAGGACCGTTATCTACTTCCGCTTATTAATAAGACCCTCGATCGCCTATCTAGTACCTACTTTTATACTATATTAGACATTAAGGATGCGTACTATCGTATCTATATTCGTAAGGGCGATAAATAGAAAATAGCCTTCTATACCCGCTATAGCTATCTCGAGTATTTAGTTATACTATTTAGGCTAGCTAATACCCCTATAATATTCTAGTCTTATATTAATCGGGCCCTAGCTATTCTAACTACCTAAATTTTGCCTTCTATACGGTAGCTCTCTCCTACTAATAGAACCGAGCTACTATACCTAACGAATCTAAGCTCGTTTTTAGTCTTAATCTATCCTCTTTCGGTATAAGACACTCGATAAGCAAATGCTTAGGCCGAGTCTAACTACGAAAGCTAATACTAACTAATAGCTCTATTAACTAATCCTAATCCTCGAACTCCTTCCGCTTCTTAGTAAAGACCTTAAAGAGCGCCCGAGCTTCGTCGCGTACCTACGGAGTAGTCGAGATAAAGCCGTATTGCTAAAATAGGTAATCCTTCGAAGGCTTATATAGAGATTTAGAGAATTCTAACGCTAACCTATCCTACTAGTAGCTTAGATTCCGGATATAAGCCCTCTCTACCTTAGTAAAGATTTTATATAGTAGTAGTACTCTACCCTTAAGAAACGCTTTCTATTTAACTATTAGTATCTGCCGGCTACGAACGCCGGCTATATATACCGAGTATAGAATAATTACCTATACCCCTTCCTCCTTTAGTAACTCTTCCGCCGTCCCTAGATACCTAGCCCCGATTGTATTAATCGTAAGCTACTTTGCCTTTATAGACGTAAAGGCATCGCTCTAATACTAATAAAGAAATTTCTACTCTATATCGAGGATATAAAGACGACTAGTCTCGATTCTAATCCTTGCTAGCTTTTTATAGTAGCTTTAACGATAATTTTCTAGATTAATAGGACTTATGCCTTAGCCCTTTACTACTACCTCGTCTCTTTAACTATACTCGATCTACTCCTAGCGCTTATCGTCTATAGCGTTAGGCCCTAAGACTATACCTATTACTAGATCGACGTATAGTATCTCCTCGCTTTTTTTAGTCCCTTTATTCGTAGTATTAAGCTCTTTCGCGGCATCCTAAACTCTAGTATTATTATTCTCGACTATCTAAATATCTCCGTTACTATTAGTCGTATCGATAGAGATAGCGGCTATAGGTCTAAATGCTATTAGTTAACGTCTTAAAGAAAGAAATGCTAGCTATAGCTGCTAGCTACGGCTATTAGCTAGATTAACTTACGCTACTAGAAACTTACGCTCGAAAACTAGACGTAATTCCTTCCTCTTCTTAGCCTTCTCTTAGGTTATCTTCTTATTCTAATCTTTACTTTTTTAAAGTTTTTTCTATAGGCGCTAGCTATCGATAGAATGCCTTATTCCGCGCCTTTCTTCTCTTATCTTTAATCTTTTATCCTTATCTGTCTTCTCCTTTAAGTCCTTTCTCTCGCGGTTTCGTACGGAATTCTTCTTCGTAGAGTACTCCTTTTTAGTCTTACGCTTTTTTCTTAGATACTTAGGTAAAATAAACTCGCGGTCTTTAGTTCTATCTTCTATTTAGCGCGCGGCGCGCTTCTCTTTTACTATTTTAAGGAAGGGGGACGGGGGCGTAGCGTATAGTAGTTATTATAGGTATAGGTATAAAGGAAGAAGTTAAAAGGTATAAGAATATCGCGAAGCCCTGCCTACGTAACGTTATATAGGTAAGCTTTCGCAACTATAGTAACTACGCCCTAGTAACAGCAACTACGCCCTAGTAATAGCAACTACGCCCCGGTAACGGCAACTACGCCCTAGTAACGGTAATAGCTATTATTAAGGCAACCGCGAGCGTAGTAAATGTAACCTAGTTACTATTATAGCCGGTAATCGTAGCCGGTAGTCGAATAAGAGTGTCCTTATAGTAAAACTAATATAGTCTCTAGTTTAAACTAGGAATCTATATAGTTTGAAAAAACTAAACCGGAACTAGAGAGCTAGTTTGCCGCTAAGAAACCAAACTATATACGTTTAGTAGTTTGCAAACCAAACTACTATAGGGTCTATCTATTAATATCGATACCGATACTAATACTAATAGCGATATCGATAGTAGTAGCCGCTATAACTAGTATTCCGCGCGATCCTATTCTTAGCGTAGCTTTATTAGCTTTAGCTTTAGTAGCGTACTTACTAGTAGGAGGAGGAGAATATTTATCGTAAGTCGCGAGGAATAGCGCTATAGACTCGCTACTAACTCGCTCTAGACTTCGACGCCCTACGACTATAAATACCTACGATTTCTAGTATTATAGCGCAGAGATATAGTAAGGCCTACTCGATTAAATAGCTATACCGGATAAGAAGAAGGTAGTATTAAATAGACTATAGAAATATAAGGCTACTAGACTTATTATAGAAACGGACTCTAGTAAGCCTATACTAGCGCTATACTACTACTATATATACTCTAAAAACTTTAAGTATCGTATACTTAATACTAAGAGCGAGCCAGTCTACGCTTACTATAAGTATAATAGTAAGTCTAGCTATATAGCTAGTTTAGAGGTTAAAGAAGACAATAGAAATAGCGAGCTAGCCGCGATATAGGCGCGAGTCGAGGCTATAGAGGCAAAGAATACTATACTAGATACAAAGATTAAGGCACTAGAAGCTAGATTCTATAAGTTAGAAAGATACTACCTCTCGTAGTTTAAATAGCTTAAAAATAAGGCTATTATTAAGTCTCGCGATATATATACTATTTAGAAGGAGCTATAGCTAGATACGAATCGCAAGCCGCTAGTAGAAGATGTTTAAGTTAAAGGTCTTAGAGATATTAGAGGTCTTAGAGATAGTAAAAGAAAGAAGAAGAAGTGCGAGTCTACTACGAGTCTACTATAAGTCTGCTATTCTATTTCTTCTTCTTTAGTCGTTAACTATGCTTTATTTTCTTAGCCTGTTTGCCGCTATCTTTGCTAGCTTTACTATTAGCCTATCCGCCGCTATTAGCCTATCTGCTACTATTAGCCTATCTACTACTACTAGCCTATCTACTACTATTAGCCTATCTACCGCTATTAGCCTATCTACCGCTATTAGCCTGTCTATTAGTAGGTTACTAATCCTTAGATTCGCTCGACCCTTTCGGAATAGACGTGCCTCGCAATATACTTACGGTAGCCTCGCCGCTTAAGTTAATTATCTTAGGCGGCTAATTTATATTAATAACCTTCTTAGTCTATAGCTTTTCTTAGACCCCGTAGTAGTTCGGTTTGCGAACTACAAAACGTATATAGTTTAGTTTCTTAGCGGTACCCCTCCGGTTTAGTTCTAGTTTAGTTTTTTGCCCCGCTAGTCTAAGCTAGTTTCCGAGAAAATCCGACTAGACTACGACGGTATACGACGGTATACGACGACCTCGGATCGGGTCCGGGGGCCCTATATTGCATACGCTATACGGTTACATCTGTATTTCAGGCTGTTTAGACGTGTTTTAGGATAGGTTTTTGTCCGTAGCCGGTACGTAGCCGGCAAACCGGTCCGTATACCGATTTCTTAGCAAACTAAACTAAACTAAACTAGAATTTCGGCTAAGCAAACTAAACTAACCTAACCCGAACTACCGCGGGGTCTAGCTTTAAGCTTTTCTTTCTTAATCTTAATGCTATTAACTACCTTCTACTAACTTGCTAGATTACTCGTACTAGTAATAGTACTAAACTAATATTTCCGCTTTTGTTATTACTTCTCCTACTTAGTATAGATATAGAGCTTAATCTCGTAGACTAATAATAACTTTATTGCTAGTTTATAGACTATTAAAGCCTATCTAAGTATTCTAGGCGCCTTAGTTGCTACCTTCTCTAGTTAACTAGTTATATTATTAAAGCATATATAGGGGAAGTAGTTAAAATAGTTCTCGATTCGATTAATACTACTATCTAGTAGCTCGTAGGCGTTAAGCCGGTCTATAATCTAGTCTATAGATAGTATCTTAGCTTCTTTGAATTCTTAGTTAGACTAGGCATCCGAAATAGTAGAATATAGGACTATTTTACCGAAGAACTATATCTTAGTTATACTCGTAAGCTTAACTTCTCTATACTAAGTATAAATCAAATAGCGGCAAAGGTATTTCTATACTTTTAGGTCTACTAAAGCTAAAGCTAAAGCAGGTGTTAGTAGACGTTACGAGAGGCTCCGAGATCTAGTATTTAGTATTCGAGTTATTAGCTTATAATATTAACTAGTAGTATTCCGTATAGTATTAGCCGCCTTAGGTTTAGAGAAGAACGTATTAAAGCCTTATACTATACTCGCGGAGCTACTCGTAGTAGCGGCTACTAATTGCTCGTAAACAAATTGCTCGCTTACTAGATCGGAATTAAGAAGGCCGTATTATAAACAGTATCGGTATTTACTATATATCTTTATATAGTCGACGCCTAATTTAGTATAATAGGTGCCCTAATTAGTAGGCATTATAAGATAGATAGAGGCAGAAATAGCAGAGTGTAAGACGGGTATGTTAGCAGGTAGATAGGGTAGTAGTAGGTACAGGTAGTATTCGATAAGGAGCTAGGAGGAGAGGGAGGAAGGCAGGCAAGTTAGCCTATTACCAAGCGCTAAGCCCTGCCTAAGGCATTAAGACCCTAGCTTTACTCGAGCCCGGTTACATACTAATTACGTATAACCTCTTTAGTCCTAATATACGCTTCCCCTCTAAAGGCCGCGCCCTCGTAGCCGGTCTTTGTTCTAGTCTCAACCTCTATTACTACTAACTTAGTAGGTCTAATAAGCCGCTTAGTCCGCGCTAAATTAAACGTACAACTACCGATTATGTAACTATATCAAACCTTACCTCTAATATAATACAATATCTAACTCTAACTGCGCTATCCTTATATATAATAAAGTAATATATAACTATAAGAATTAAGGACTATCGACTAATTATAATACGAGCGTACCTTCCCTACTATAATAGGTAGGTATACGGGGTATTATAGCACTGCCCCCGTTCTAAGTAATGTTATACCGAGTTCTCTGCGTCTACTCTTAAAAGACCTAGAAATGTCCGCTTCCGAGGGTTATTCTTATTATTACGAGGGATTGTTCTTATAATTACGAGGGCTATTATTTACTATCGTAGTCTCGCTAGCCCTAATTAGTTAGGTTTAGCAGCCTTCAATTGTTAATCTTATCTTATCTTTTTAGAAAAAACACAGCTCGTCTAGTTTCTATAGGTAAAGGCTATTATAAGTGTAATAGTTAAGGTTCGCCTCGCTTAAAGAGTCGGAAAGATCGAGGAGTAACCTATTGTCCGCAAGATCGACCCCGGCTAGCTTAGCTCTATAGTTTTGCCCTTAGTTAGTTAGTCTATTAAGCTACTCAATCTTTTTAAGCCTTAATATTTTGACTTAGCCTTAAAGTTTTGATTAACCCCTTAGTGCCTTAGGCTCGTAGTATAGGTAAGGTTGTCTTCGTAGGTATAGTAACAATAGTAGGTAACGTTAACAATAGCGGTGCTAGCCGTCTTAGCGCTAACTTCACCTTACTTCTAATTTCCTTCTTTAACTAACAACATTAGTAACACTGTTACTAATATAGCCGTATCGGCTTCCTTCGATAGTAACATACTCCGCAATACTATTACTAATATAGTCGCGCTAGCCGCGCCGTCCTCGCCGATTGCCTAGGCCTCGATAGAATAAGGGAATAAGAGGGGGACCTAAATACTAGGAGATCGGAAGGGCCTTATAGGGCGCGTTAGTAGAGAGGTAGTTTCCTAAAAGAGCAGCGAATAGTTAACGCGTTATAGCGCGCTTATTAACACTCGGTGCGCGTTTACTATAGTAGTATAGTCTTATTGTCCTAGTTTGCCGGCCTCTAATTAGTTAGCTAATAATACCCTAGGGGTGCTATTAATCCTAGGCCTTAATAGTAATATTATAGGCCCTTAGCCTTCTTCTTGTTCTTTATACTAGTCTAATACTTATCTAATAACTTAGTTATATCTTTAAAAGAGGCTTTAGCTTCCTACGAGTCCTATTTAGGTAAATAGCCTTACTATCTTAATAGGTACTCCTTCTTGCCTTTCCTAGTCCGGTACTATAGGATACGTTCTATAGACTACAGCTCTTTACTATCCGCTAGTATATCTTCGTGTTTAGTAGGGGCTTTATCCCCCTCGCGTAGGTAATATAGCTTAAGGAGGGATATATAGAAGGTATTATAGATAGTATAATAAGGAGGAAGCTACAACTAATAGGCCTATACGGAGGAGCCCTTAACTTCTCGAATGCGGAATAGACTAATATATCTTAGTACGAGCTTGGGCCTTGTTTTGCTATTAGGTAATAGGTGCTTACAGATACGGAGGTTCTTAGTGCTTAGTATAACTATATCGCCTTGCTTAAAGGTTATCGGTGTATAGTGTTTATTATAATAGGCCTTCTAATAGGCCTAGGCCTTTGCTAGTTTGTTAGCTATTATAGCGTGAATTTCTCGCATCTTTTAAGCCCTCTCTATAGCCGCTAGTGTTTTAGGGGCTTGACGCGCTTCCCTTTCCTTACGCTCGGCCTCGAGCGAGGTAAATAGATCTTATAGTAAGGCAGCGTTTTAGCCTATTATAGCTATATACGGTAAAACCTTAGTTGATAAGTAGACACTGTTATTATATACGAATTCGGCTAGTTGTAGGAGGTTAACCTAGTCGTTAGGGTTCTTATTAATGTAGCTACGTAGGTACTGCTATAGGGTAGCATTTTGCCTCTCGGTTTGGCTATCTGTTTATAGATAGAATACTATAGATAGGCGATACTTGAGTCTTAGTTGTAGGTATATCTTACTCTAATAATAAGATATAAATATCGAGCCCCGGTTAGAGACTATCCCCTTAGGGGTTCCCTAATAGCTGTAGAAGATGTTATTCTATAGTAACTTAGCTAGATTAATAGCTGTCTAATCCTTCCGAGCGGGGATATAGCGAGCGCCCTTAGTAAACCGGTCTATAACGACTAGTATAGCATTAAAGACGTCCTTACTTCCCCTTCACTTAGTAGGGGGAAGACCTGTAATAAAATCTATTGTAAGCTCTGCAAATAGCTTATAGGGGATTAGTAATAAGGACAACTCGCTAAAAGGCTAATACTTTAGTGCCTTAATACGTTAGTATACGGCACACGTGTTTACGTAGTCCTTTATGTCCCGCTTACTATTTAGCTAGTAGTATATACGCGATAGTAGCTCGTACGACCTCTCTATACTATAGTAACTAGCAAGCTTACTATTATAGTGTCGCTTAAGAAGCTCTTGTCTAATCGATTGTTTAGCGGGGACATAGTATCTGCCCTTAAACTTTAAGTAACCCTTGTCGTCGATCGACTAATTATTGTTACTCTTGCTAGATCGAGTCTTTCGTCTACTTATAAGCTTATCGATACGTTTAGCAGCAAAGGCGTCCCTCTGCTAAGTACGTAACAGCTTATCTATAAACGATTAACTATCCCTATTTGCAAGGTTATTTAATAGCACCCTCGCTATCGAACGAGGTACGTATTATATATATCTAATAGCACTAGTAGCCGGATTAACTACAGTAGTGCTATCGCTGTTACTATATATAGCGATATCGACTAGGGAGTTATTATAACTTCTCCTATCTGTATTATTAGCCCTTGCCTTAACACGCACTATTAATATAGCAAGAGTATTAATATACTTCGAGCCGTCGCGGAGTCCGGTAAGCCGCTTATCCTACGCTTGCCTTACTACGAGGTCTATAGCAATCTTGTACTATAGGGTTAGAAACAATGAATTAATAGATTGGGTTTCGCTATCGTAATTAGGTCGCCTCGATAGGCTATTAGTAGAGTTACTTACGCCTAGTCGATATAATATATTAAAATCGAACCCGGCGAGGTAGACGGCCTATCTAGCCTGTCGACCTATAACCCTAGTAACCTTAGTAATACTACGAAGGTTGTTATAGTCTGTATAGACCTAAATAGGGTACTAAGCACTATCGAGATAATAGCGCTAGTATTTAAAGGCTTCTACGATTGCTAAGAGCTCTTGCTCGTAGGTCTCGTACCGACGTTCTATATCGATTATCTTCCGTAAAAAGAAGGCAATTAGGTGCTAGTAGTAGTTACTATCTAACTGCTAAGACATTATAGCTAATACAGCGAACTATAAAGCGTTAGTCTCAATTCGGATCTGCTTGTTTAGTACAAAATAGTATAACAAGGGGACTTTAGTAAAGCGTTGCTTTAAGCCGTTAAAAGCGGCTTATGCCTTATTAGTCTATTTGAGTTCTCTAGAAGGGTTTGCCTTAGTCTTAGTAAGTTTAGTAAGTAGCATTATATGCCTCGAATAGCCCTTAATAAAGCGGCGGTAAAAGTTAGTAAAACCTAGGAACGATTAAAGCTCTTTAATACTAGTAGGCGTTAGCTACTTAGTAATAGTCGTAATCCGATTAGGATTAGCCTTAACACTATTAGTTAATACGAGGAAGCTAAGGAAGGGCACCTCTTTAGCAGCGAAGGTGCATTTAGAGGGTTTGTAGTACAAGCTATAGGCCCGTAGGCGGTCGAGTACCTTACGTACGGCGGCCTAATATTCCGCAATGTTAGGTAAGTGTATATAGACTAGGATATCGTCTAGATAGACTACGTAGAGGTAGTCTAATAGGCCTAATAGGGCCCGATTAATATAGGACTAGAATGTTATAGGGGCATTAGCTAGGCCGAATAGTATAACTAAGTACTTAAAATAGCTATAGCGAGTACAGAAGGCTGTCTTCTATTTATTACCCTTAGGAATGCGAATGCGGTAATAGGCGTCCTTAATGTCTAATATAGTATAGAAGTAGGCGCTAGAAAGGCGGTCGAGGGTCTTATTAATAAGCGGAAGTAGATAGCGGTCTTTAATAGTAACAGCATTAAGCCCTCTATAATTAATGTATAAACGCAGGCTACTATCCTTTTTTAGCACGAATAGGATAGGTGCACTAGTAGGGCTGTTGCTATACTGAATTCGACTATTAGCTAGGTTCTTATCTAGGTACTTACGTAGTATAGCAAGCTCGCGTTTACTAAGGTTGTAGAGGGGACTAAAGGGGACCTCTTTGCCCTATATAATATCGATCTTATAGTCCGTCTCTTTAAACATAGGCAATATCGATGCTAGGTAGTGTTTAAAGATATTAATATAGGTCTCTCGAACAGGCTAAGGTATACGAGCAAGCTGTTTAGGGTCTATGCTATTAGGGGGCATAGGTTTATCGTTATTACCTAATAGGTCGACTATTAGGCTAGCTATAGCAGGTGTTAGGTTGCCGATAAATAGGACCCTAATATTATTAGGGCACTCGCTAACGTCGATATACTTAATATCCTCTTTCCTAGCGATTCTAAATCGCTATTATTAACTACCTAAATCTATAGCGATAGTATAGTGCTTAGGAACAGGGTTGCTAATAACAATAGTAGCTCCCCTATATAGGTTGTCTATATCTACTACGTAGGTAGTAAAGTCTAGTAGGCGTTTATTTCCGAGGTCGTCCTTTAGAACTATAGGAATATAGTAGGCCCTATAGGTCAAGTGCCGAGCGTTATTAAACTAAGTAAGGGTTAGCAGGTTAGCCCTATTTAATTGTCGAAGGTCTAATTGCTTAGCTAAGCGATAGCTAATAAGGGCACTAACTGAATTTCCTAGATCTAGTATAACCTTAGTCTTATAGTTAGTTCTATACGTATCCTATATAAGGCAGGTACGTATAATAGCTAGCATAATGTCGATAGTTTTACGCCGTATAAGGCTAATAGTTAGTACGGCGCTTATTCTTTTTTCGAAGGTTGGCCTATAGGGATAGCGTTAGCTACTAAGAGGTGCTTTCGGTGCTTAGCGGTAGTACGGTCGATTCGGGCCTAGTCCTTAGGTTTATCGTATTAGCCTAGCAGATAGCTAGTACTATCGCAATTGAAGCACTTTAATCTAGTTAGGAGGTTACTATAGCTACTATTAGTCGAGCGGTTAGCGTTATAAGGATACGAGCCCCTTCTACGGCCCCTATTACAGCCTCCTCTATATAGCCGTCGGCTACGGCCTCTTCTACGGTCGTTATTACTATTCCTATTATTAGCATTGTTATTCTAGTAGGACCCTTAGCCGTTGCCTCTACGGGCACTACGATTGCCGCGGTTAGTACTAGCTAGTCGGATCCTCGATTCTAGTCGTTACTAGAGCTAAACAGCCCGTTCGGCGGTTTCTACTTCGACTATAAATTAAATGCGTATTAGATTAGCTTATTCGAATATACGGCGACGGTCTAATTCGAGGATAAGCTCCTATCTAAGTTTTAGGCGTATCTCGGAGATCTATATAGAATTAGTCTTAGGCGGAAGGTCGTCTTTAAGGGTTTTTAAATAGGCCTCGAATAAGCGGGCCGATTAATTAGTCTTTTGCTTAGCTCGAAGGTACTAGTCCTAAGTATATTGTTGCCTTAGTATAGGGTTTCTAAGGGTGTCTAGCATAATAGTTTTATAGGTTTGCTACTAAATAGCGGTCTAATTAGTAAGGGAGTCGAAATAGTTATCCTAGGTGCGTTTTAGGTCTCTATTAATATATTATATAGCATAGACGACTAACGAGTAATCGTCCGGAAGAGCCCTAGGTGCGTTTCGCTAGTTAAGCTTATAGTTACGAATGTAGTCGTTATATTGCTTTCGGCTAGAGCTATCAAATACGGTACAGTCCTTAAGTTTAGTATCCTTCTTCTAGACTAGGACTAATAGTAAGGAAGGCCCTACTATCGGCTTAGTATTAGTTATTAGAGCTTCCTATAGACGGCGAATTTCGAGGAGGTTGTCCTTTAGCTATTGTTCTTAACGTAAAGTAGCGAGCCTGTTTTAGGTAGCTTCTTAAAGTCTCGCTACTAGCTAGGGGCTAAAGGCTAGTTAGCTATATCGACGGTTAACAATATTACTAAGAATGTCGTTAACGGGCAACGAGGGGTTATCCCCTTCGATTATAGGTTCTTTAGCAGGCCCTCTAGTAGGCTCTTTAGTAGGAGGCACTTTAGCAGGTACTTTAGTAGGCACTTTAGTAGGCACTATGCTACTAGTATTGTTATTGCTAGCGCTACTAGCGGCGCCCCGGTTGTTGTTGCTTCGTAATAAGCCGGCTATTATAAGGGGTAATACTAATAATATATTATAGGCCCCTAAGATACGGATGTAGCGGAATTAGTAGATATCGGCTTAGTGCGATTAACTTAGTATAATAGGCTATATAGAAGGCCTTACTTAATAATTGGTACGGTTGTTTTAATAGAATAGTACGTATAGGTCCCGTTCTTCGGGCGTAATATAGTTAAATCGATAGTTTTCGTAGCTATACCGCTAAAAGCTTAAAATAAGGACTATCTAGCTACTACCCTTAAAGGGTAGATCGAATACTATATAATACGGGTATGTTAGTAGGTAGATAGGGTAGTAGTAGGTATAGGTAGTATTCGATAAGGAGCTAGGAGGAGAGGGAGGAAGGTAGGCAAGTTAGCCTATTACTAAGCGCCAAGCCCTGCCTAAGGCATCAAGCCCCTAGCTTTACTCGAGCCCGGTTACATACTAATTACGTATAACCTCTTTAGTCCTAACACAGAGGTTTAAGAAGGCTATAGATAAAATCGAATTAGAAAAAGCGACTCGCTATATACTCGCCGCCGGCTCGTAGATCGCCGATTAGTATATATTATTTATAAACTTAATTATTCTAGCTTCCTAGTTCCGAGCCGCCGCTAACTAACTACGTACTACTAATAGCTTATCTAACTCTATTAGTTCTAGCTCTACCCCTATAGCTATATACTCCTTAACTAGCTATTAAAAAAGCAAGTAAGTAAAGCGGTAAATACGCTCTATATTATAGCTATTCTCGCTACTACTTAATAGATACGAGAAGCTATAAATCTATAATACTATCTAATACTAAGAAAGCGTAGCCTCGGGTAGGTAGGCTTTAAGATCTAGGAATTAGCGAGTCTATAGCGAGTCTATAGCGAGTACTATAGAATCTAATATATACCGAATCCCTAAAGGTATTGCTCTATATTATTAAATACGCTATTAGGTATAGGAACACTTTAATAAGAATGCCCGCTAAGCTCTAGATAATAGTATAGAATATACGGAATACCTAGTATAATATATAGTCGATTAGCCTACTTCCGGATATAATAGCTATTCTAGAGGTAGACAAATTCGAGGACTTAATTACGCTTAATAGTATATAGATTACAAGGAAGGCAATCCGATCCGCTAGTAGCTTAGTATCGTATAGTAACTCGCGTAGTAACTCGTAGAAATAGCCTCTCTAGCTATCTAGTATAGGTACTTACTAGCGCTACTATACCTTAATCCGCTAGTTTGTCTTACTCGTACTATATTTAAAGTAGTCCTCGAAGGCTAGCGGTTATTCCGGGTTACTACGAGTTGTAAGCCGAGTCTTATACTTACTATAAGCGTCCGTAGCTAGAATCGTCTCTACCCTACGGTCTAATCGGACAATCTATAGTATTATACTACGATTCCGGATCGTTATAAGGTATTAAGCTAGTATAGAGATAGCTATCCAGCTAGTAATACCTATATAGATCTAGACAATATAACGCGAGTAAATATTAATCGCTATATAGATCTATATCCCCTAATACTTAAATTAATAATAAGTATCTATTAATATTACGTAACTAGGGCTAGGTATAATAATCGCTCTATAGTACTCTCGCGCCCGCTCGTAGCGAACTCGCAATCCTTTAGGATTTAGTAAGGAAGCTATAGGATATAGGCGATCTCTACTAATAATATTATATTTAGACCTAATAGAGGTATATAGGTACCGTCGGCTAAAGGACTCTACTATAGACTTCTCGAGCTCTTCCTATAAGACCTCTATAATCTACTCTTTCGCTTCTATCTATCTATTTATTAATAACGCCTTCTTTAATCTAAGCTTTTAATATATCTATTAATATCTCCGCTAGCTAATTCTAAACCTATCCGCCTATAGTACTTAAACCGCCTCTTTATTAGTTAACCGTAGAACGTAGAAGGTATATACGATCCGGATCTTTAGTACCTCGATATCGTTAACTTAGTAATAGTAAGTATAGTAGCTATAGTTAATATTCTACTCTTTAAGCCTTCGTTTAAGTATATTAAGGGATATCTAATAACTAGTCTCCTATATAAGGTACTATACGATTGCTTCTCGTATAGTACCGCTATAGACTTAAGATATTATCTAAGCCTTCTATAGCGATAAATCGATACGTAGAGGTATTCTACGAGTTGATAGCGACTATAGTACGAGTCGTAGAAGGTTAAATATAAAGAATTAGGTAGTAATAGCGGTAAGAAGTGTAAGAAACCCCGCATTGAGCCTCCGGTATTATATTGGCCTCCCTACCTGCGTCATTGTCGTCGCTTTGTGGCCGCGACCTCCGTAACTTACATGTAGGCCGACTCTCAGGCGCATCACCACCAACAATTGCATTTCCGTCGCGTGAGACACCACTGCGAACATCTCCTCACATGGCGAGCGCATCAAGTCGGCGGCGCACGCGATAAACACGTATCACCATGGCGACCGAGTCGTCACTCAGCTCCAACATCTTTGCGACGACCTCAGCGGCAGCAATAGCCCTACTCGTACTCTTGCTGATCAGATACTACCTCCCGCTGCGAAGCACTCCTGCATACCTCCTCCTGCCCGTATTCTTGGCCTTATTCCTGCCGGCGAGTATCATCATACTAGTCCCTGTTGATCTGGCATCCGTGGAAAGGAATAGCGATGAGCACGCCCAAGGCTTCTGGCTGCCAGAAAGAGCGCTGTTGGTGACGTGGAGGATCACATACTGGTTGACGTTCATCTTAACTTGGTTCTTACTCCCCTTCCTGGGTGAATACTGCGATTCGGGCTATCGAGATGCCACGCACCGGTCAATCTACTCTCTACGAGCCAACTTCCGCTATCAACTGATCGTACTGGCGAGCGGCATCGCTGGACTGGTCTATTTCATCTGGGAAAATGGATTCCATGCGGAGAGCATCAAAGGTCTGGTGATGGCTTTGGCCTACGCTTGGGGCTTGATTCTGGGATTAGGATTGATGGGACACGGACTGGTTGCTTTGCCTCGCCGCTTGTTCAAGAACGCCAAAGTTAGCAATCGTCTGCGCTGGCTGCACTCGCAAGCGCCGAGAGTTAAGGACAAGCTTGACGACGCTTTAGACAAGTTAGAGCAGTTGGAACACACAGTTCTCCAGCTCAAGAGGCATAAAGGAGGAGCCAGTCGAGAGCAGCAGTCATGGATCGATGAGCTTGCGGAAACGTCTAGTCTCCCCGACACGAGACCTGGCATGGCCGCTGCTATACAAGCCACAAGTCCAAGCATACCTGCTGTCGTGACCGATCGTTATCTGGCAGATCTCACGCGTAAATTGAAGAGGGCACGACACCGCAAGGCAAGGTTTGTCGACGAGTGGGACCAGCTGGTGGAAAGAGCGTGGAAGCTGCAGACCATTCTCGATGCAGCGACCTCGAAGAAGCTGGACTTTGGCCGCAGCTCCGGAAGCACCTTGCTCGTAAACCGTCTGACATTTCTCACCCCATCAATGCGGTTCTATCTCCACATGAACATTATCCCGGCTACCCGCATTGCCGTTTCGGCAGTCCTTGGGATCATGTCCGTCTTCGTCGTATGGAGCGAACTGGTCAAGGCATTTGCGCCGTCGCTTTCCATCATCGGAATCACCGTGGTCCATGCTGGCAAAGTCAATTTTGGTGGTCAGATTATTGCTGCCGTATGGCTCCTGTACATGGACACTGCGGCGCTGTACGCAATAGCAGACGTCAAAGTATGGGGCAATCGTGCTCTGGTCAAGCGCCAGACCTATGCCGAGAGTGCCTGTTGGTACTCACTGCAGGTGGCCAAGCTTACAGTGCCGCTGTCTTACAACTTCATCACAATGATGCCCGACGAAGTCTTCAAAGACACAATGTTCTTCCAGTTCCTTGGGAAGCTCATTCAACTGACACCGCTGGGCCAAGGCTTTAGCGCATTCTTCCCGTGCTTCTTGCTCCTACCCGTTCTGGCTACACTGTTCAACTTGTATGGTAAGACGAAGAATGTGTTTGGCTTTGGAGTGCTCGAAGATGAGAGCGACGAAAATCCTTCCGGCTTCGGCACAGGCGGCTGGAGGGAGGGAAAGGCTCTCGTCGACCGGGAATTGCAATCCCGCGGAACCGATGGGACTCTAAGCCTCGATGATCGTGACTCTTCTCTTGACCTCGAACGTGGGCCTGATAGCAGACTTCTACCAGGTCGAAGTTTTGGACCGCCACGAGAAGACCGAGGACGACAGCCTGCGTTTCGAGACGATGGTGTCCGGGAAGCCAACAGACACTTCAATGCCATCACCAATCAAGAAGATCCCGAGGATGACAGCCCTAGGCACTTCTACCAAGATATTGGTGAACGCGTGAAGAACACTTTTGACACGGCAGGTGCACCCCATTGGATGAAGAATATTGGAAGCGCATTCAAGGGTCCCAAGTGGATGCAGAACGATCAGCGGGACGATAGCGGAGGGTCTGCAATATCGAGATGGTTTGGAGGCAGACCCGAAGATGGCAGACTTAGATTATAGAATAGCTTTGTTGAATTTAGCGCAGGAGTTGCATAGGTCAGGCTGAAATCAGCTTTTCGAACTCACTTGCTTGGATCATGATCGTTGGGAGAGAGTAGCTTTCTGAAATTCTATCCATGCAGATATCTGACAAAATGTGTACAAAACTCCAAGCCTACGCCTCGGCAAGCTTCAGCAATCCTTTAAGATCAATCGACTTGGGTCTCTCGATAGGCAGACCAAGTGCACGATCCCAGACCAGCTGCGCAAGTGGCCCCAAACCTCTGCTGACACCGAAAGTTGCCGTGTAGTATAGCGTATTGTGGAAGCCGTAGTGGTGGAAGAGGACTCCAGACGCGCTATCGACGTTAGGGAACGGGTTCTTGGTCTTGCCGTGTTCTGAGAGCACGCCTGGTGCGATCTCGCTGTTCTTCTTGACGAGCTGGAAGACAGGGTTCTCGGCAATCTCCTTGCGAGAAGAGGCGAAATCCATCAGAGCCTCGAATCGTGGATCTGGCTTGCGAAGCACGGCGTGGCCGTAACCTGGCACCACACGGCCAGACTTGAGCGTTGACCAGAGGTAGTCGGTTACATCTTTGTCGCTGAAGTTGGTGCCAATGTGGTCCTTCATTTGGAGGATCCACCGCAGAACTTCTTGTGCTGCCAGACCATGTAGTGGACCAGCGAGACCTTGAAGACCGGCGGAGTAGGCGAGGTACGGATCCGAAAGCGCAGATCCAACCAAATGTGTTGTGTGTGCAGAGACGTTACCACCTTCGTGGTCACCGTGAAGTGCGAGGTAGAGGCGCAGCAAGTCGTGGAAATTCTCGTTCTCCTTTCCGCCCTTGCCGAGCATGGCAGCGAAGTTCTGCGACCAGTCGTGGTTCACGTCGACTTCTCCTGGAAGGGCACCACCGCCGCAGTATGCATTCTGGTGGATCTTGGCTGCCACAGTTGGGAGCTTGGCGAGCAGGTTGATACAGTCGTCAAATGTCGGCTCCCAATAGTCGGCTTTGTTGAGGCCTTGTTCGTATGCTCGTGCGAACTTGGATTCGTACTGCAAAGCAGAGACTGCGCAGGCAAATTGGGTCATTGGATGCAAGTCCTTCGGAAAGTCGTCGAGCATCTTATTAACGAATGCTGGAAGCTGTGCCTTCTCTGCCAACTCTTTGCTGAAGGCCCTGGTCTGGTTGGTGCTTGGTACTTGTCCGGTGAGAAGCAGCCAGAACATTGCCTCGGGAAGCATCTCCGTGCCAGTGTTTCCCTTGGGCAGCTCCTTCTGGCAGTCCTTGATCGACTTGCCGTGGAATCGAATGCCCTCATTGGCATCCAGCACAGACCCCTCCCATACCATTGCCTTGAGACCTCGCATGCCTCCGAGCGTGTTCTCAATCTTGACCTCTCCGATCGTCTTCGATGAGTGCGCCTTGACCTTCTTCAGTAGCTCTCTCTTCTCGGGGATGACAGCCTTGAGGGTCTCTTTGAGATCTGGCTCGGCTGTTGCATAGCTGCGAGAGGCATTGCAGACGATGTTGACGTTTTGTGGAAGCTGCGTGGACCCAGACCAGTCAGGCTCAAGTATTCTGGGAAGTGCTGGACGGACTGCCTACCTTGGAAGCTCTGAGAGCTCGTGTAGCAGACCTTGCAGACAGTGCCATGGTTGCTGTGAGTGTGTGCTGTGTGAGGCCTCAAGGCTGGGCTGGGAGCAGAGGCAAGATGGTAGAAAATGTGCTGTTTGCCGAACTCGCCTGCTTGTTCGGACTGGGCGCCTACGAGTTCCGAGCTACAATTTTTTGGGGAGCAGGCAGGCCGGTCGGGTGAAGCCTGATGCGGTGCGGGTACAGCTGCAATGCGAAGCGGATAGCCTCGGCAAAGCGGGACGGCTAACACGGACGTCACCGCGTACATAAGCGAGATGGACGACAACCTAATAGTTGCTGACTTATTTTAGGTTGAGTATACCTAGGGGTCGGATATTCTATTCCTATAGGTTTCTACTATTCCTATATAGAATATCTAACTCGTATACCTTAGTATCCGGCTAGAAGTATAGAAATAGGATATTAATATAGTATATAGGCCTATAGTCGCGGCTTACTATATTTAAACGAGTTTAGGTTTATAAAGTCGGAATAGCCTATATCTACTTAAAATCGAGGATTTAACTACTATAATTAGTAATAGCTAAGAAGACTATACTATAGTCGCGTATTATATATATAGACCTTTAATATATATATATATATATATATATATATATATATATATATATATCTTAACTAAATACTATCTCCTTTTCTTATATAGCTAGTAAAGTCGCTATAGATAACCCTATTATTCTCGCTCTTATTAGTAGTATAGTCGCTAGAGCTACGCCTACTATCTTAATAGCTTTCTAGGACTTATTATATTCTCGAAGTAGTCGGAAACGATAGTATAGGCCTATAGGCGTAGTTTAAACGCTAATAGAGCCCTCGAAGAGTAGGAGAGAGGTATTTTAGTAGCCTAGTCGTCTAGAAGACTATTATTATATAGTAACTAGTCTATAATAGTATTAGAGAGTATATAAAAGGCATATAGCTAGCTAAGTAAAGCTAGGGTCTTAGTGCCTTAGCTAGGGCCTAGCGCTTAGCGTTAGCCTAGCTTCCTAACCTTCCTCTTCCTCCTTTATAGATTTTATTAAATAATATACGCTTTTAACTATACTATCTATCTACTTACCTAACCTATATTATATAGCATTCGATCTACCTTTTAAGGGCTATAGCTAGACAGTTAATTAATTTAGTAATACGGCTTAAAGTTTATACTAAAATAAGCCTCCTACTAAGATAAGACCTATACGCTAAGAAACTACTAATTTAACCGCGCTAATTACTAATACTAACCTAGGCCTTCTATACGGCCTATTCGACTAATTTAATCGTACTAATTATAAATATACTATTCCGCTATATCCGCGCTACTAGAAGACCTATTATCGACTAAATAATACGTATCGGCAAAATAAATAACTATAATAATACTATAAGTAAGTGCTATATTATAGGCTAACGAGATAGTTATCTAATATTCGGACTGCCTAACCTCGGGCCCCTATATAAGAACCTAAGCAAGTAAAGTCTCCTATCCTGCCTTAGTAAGCCTATATAACAATTATATAATGTTATTACGTATAATACAATGCTGCCCCGCTAGCGCGAAGCCTACTTAGTATATACGCGGGAAAGCTCGGTCGCTCGTACGGATATACTTAGTAGCCGGCTTAGTAGATATACTATCTGTACGGAGCTTAGTTAATAGTAATCGCTCTGCCCTATTCTTAAAAAGGTACGGTTTAGTTCTACTATCTACTACTACGATTAGTAGAGGGTGTTCTATACGTTACTATATACCTATTTTCTTATAGTTCTAAACGGTCTACCCTTCGTAGCGGCCTATAGAACCCCGAAAGATAAACGTAAGCGATCCGAATACGCTAGGCGCGGAAACCGCGTAAAATAATATACTAGGAGCGCCGGTAGTATTAGAAAACGACGCCGCGATATAATAATACGAGGCTAAATATTAGGTACGCCGAGAAGCGACCTACCTATAACTCGAACGATTCCTAGCTAAGTAAGAAGTGCTTAGGCTAGAAGTATAGGCTTAAGAAGCTAAGCGAGAAAATATACGTCTTTATACCCTTAGGAATATAGGCGATATATAGGCTCTAAGTAGCGGTACCGCTAGCGGAGGTCCTATAATAACCCCTCCCTCGGGCGACGATAACGATAGCAAAAACAAGGTAGAATTAGCGGACGAGTCGATTTAGAGGCCTAAATCCTAGAGAGCTAAATCCCTCTTATATCGACTACCTCTTTCTAGAAGTACGCTAAGCGTAGCTACTATACCTAGTATAAGCTACGTAGTCGCTAGTCTTACGGCTATTAAGCCTCGCCTAAAAGAACCTAAACCCTTTAAAGGCGATACGATTAAGGAATCGAGGCGATTTCTTCGAGAACTTTCTATTACTTTTACGCTATCCGGAGCTACCTACTATACAGACGAAAGCAAGGTACTTTACAGCATTATATACCTCGTAGGCGATACGTAGGAGCGGTAGTATAACGAAAACAGCCTTAAGGACCTATAGAATTATACCTACTAGGACTTTAAAACCTTCTATCGAGACTACGTCGGGGACCCTATAAACCGTATACTTAACGTAACCCTCGAGTATAAGGCAGCCCGTTAGCGTAAGGGATAGTTAGTCTAAAGCTTTGCCCTTAAGCTCGTAGTGCTCGAAGATTGGCTTAGCGACTATAGCGAGGAGTATAGGATCCGCTATCTCCTTATTAAACTCTAGCTAGCGATTCGTAGCGCGATTATTAAATACTATACGGTACTAACGACGCGTTACGAACTCGTAGAGCTTGCGTATTATAGCAGGCACGGAACGCCGGGCCTATATATACTTCTATAGGACTATAGATACCTTACGAATACTATACTATTATAGACCTACTAATCGTCCCTCGCGTAATAATTAGTAGCTTCGCTTTAGTTAGATCTAGATCCGTTTAAATAATACCCGAGTACTAGACGAACGGGCACCTTAAAAAAAGCAAAAAACCCTACCGCTACCGCCTAACGCGACCGCGAGGTCCCGTACTAGCGGTACCGACCTACCTACCTAACTAGACCCCGTAGTAGTTCGGGTTGGTTTGGTTTAGTTTGCTAAGCCGAAGATCTAGTTTAGTTTAGGTTAGTTTGCTAAGTAACTATAGGATTAGCTAGTTTAAACTATAGAATTTGTCGGTTTCTAAGAAGTATAAGAATAGCTACGTATAAGGAAATAGGTATATAGCAACGTATAGAACACCCTCTACTAATCGCCGTAGTAGAAAGTAGAACTAAACCGTGCCTTTCTCAGAATAGGGCAGAGTGTTTACTATTAACTAGGCTACGTACGAATAGTATATATACCGAGCCAGTAACCGAGTATGTCCGTACGAGCGACCGAGCTTTTCCGCGCATACGCTAAGCAGGCTTTACGCTAGCGAGACAGTACCGTAGTATACGTAATAACATTACATAATTGTTATATAGGCTTGCTAAGGCATAATAGGAGACTTTACTTGCTTAGGTTCTTATAATTATCTCCTTCCCCCGGTATAGCTGTCCTAGCTATAGGGCAATATAGTAAATTATACTATTTCTTACACTCTACGCTGTACTTACGCGTCTTATACGCACCTATCGCTAGGCTATAGTTGCTAGGCACGTTATAATTTGCCTCGTAGTTGCTTGTTTGTTTGTAGATTTAAAGCGCGGCTGCTTCTAGCACTAACTAGAGGTTGCCTAAATTTCTAAGAACGCGGTAGCTACGCGAGAACGTAAGCTATCCGAAAGCGAGGCGAGTATTTAAAGCATTCGAAGCCCGCTTAAAAACTTCTTCTTTTTCTAAGCGCTCCGAATACCCCCCGCCTACTCCCTACCTACTTATATCTTGCGCCCCCTTAGCATTACTTAAAGATTTTTCTTTTTTAAACATCTATCTAAAAAAAAATTACTAGTATGTCTACTCCTTCGCGTACCTCGGGCAAGCGCGCCGTAGGCGCTCCGCCCTCGATACCTACTACGCCTACCTAGTGCCCCCTAAAAGTCCTAGAGGGCTATACCCGTTGCTTTAAGCATATAACGGCTAACGGTACGTGTTCTCGCTACTTGCTACGCGCTTACGCTTCGCAACTAACTCGCTTTAGTAGACCTAACTAAGGTTTGTATAGGTAGTAATATAGACCCTGCTACTAAGCGTAACTGCGATCGCTACTGCGGTAGCTATTATACCTACACTCCGCTTACGGCCCGCTTACTAGTATCGCTGCTAGCGCGCATTCGCGCCGCACGCTCTACGCGCGACCTATACGACCTAGACGGCTACGACTCTATCGAGGAGTCTAACGAGGCCTTAGAGGCACTCTAGGCCGAGCTAGACTCTATAGTCGTACGTATATTCCTTATACGCTCCGCTTACGCTTCGCATACTAACCTCGACGTTAGTTATCCTATCTACGCTATACGTCTTTTATACTAACAAGAATAAGGTAACCCCCGGCGGCAAAGCCCTAGCCTATAAGGGGGCCGCTAGCGGGTCCCTTACGGACGTTAACCTACTCGGTGCCCTCGAGCATATCGGCACTAACCTAGCTAGTTTAGTAGAGATTAGTCGTTAGGTATAGTTTTTCCTATAGCCTCGTTTCGCTTACGCTTCGTATACTAACCGCACTAGAACCTCGCTTAGCGCGTCGGCACTAAGGCCGTCGCCGCTATCGATACCGCTATAGGTATTAAAGAGGAGGAGGAGGCTAAGGATTCTAAGGATAAGTAGGGTAGGCGGTCCGCCGTCGCCGCGCCTACGCGGCGCCTTCTTTATATATACTAGGCTAATAGGCCTTTTTTAGTAGCGAAACGAGTACGTGTCTACTATTTTTTCTTAAGTTTCATTTTCTTTTGTTTTAATTACTGCCTACGCTTACGCTTCGCTTAAGCTTCGAACTCGTCTAACGCTATAGAATCTTTAATATAAACAGCTAGCTCCTAAGTGTTATATTCTTTAGGCTAACCTCGCTACTTAATAAGGTAGTACGCCTTCCGCTTCTTTATCTTCTTTGCTACGATTGTTTCTACCTA